TTTTCTAAAAAAAACAACATTAAATTAACTGTGGCAGCGCGCATGGCAAAGCTTTGTGACTCATTGCCATGCGTTGATACCTTGTGTTGCAATTAAATATACACCTGTATCATTTTATCACAACACAAACACCAAAACAATTTTTTACATAAGTCGATTATTTACAGTTTTGCCTACCTTCATTTTTTTACCTTTTCGCAAAAAGGCGCAATTACAAATTTGCTAATATTTGTTATTTATTAACTCAATACAGTTTTATCTTTTAGATTTAGTCAGAAAATAATTTATTTTGTGCACGGATACTGATTTTGGTGTGTTTTAACAATTGAATTGTGTATTTTTATCGGTTTAATATTAATTTGAGAAACATTTGAGCAATTATCGCAGGGCCTACAAATTTAGTATCACCATCTTTTTATTCTACCGGGCCTGCGCTTTCAGAAAATATATGGTTTGGGGGGTCTTTTACAAACGCTAGCAACGCAGCAGTTGAAAATCAAACCAATAGGAAAAAATTGCAGAAAATTCAAAAATGGCTTGGCCAGCTGATTTGAAAAATGTTCCGGAGGGCTTGGCAGCGAAAGGGTTAAGGCTGACCTAATTGATCCCACCCTCCCCCTGCACAGATGCATACAGTACCTACTGAGGTCCAATGGCCAGGACATCTTGCAGCAAAAGTCCCTTTCCTGGCTGTGCCTCTGCAGTACATCCCCATTGACTTCTAAGGGGCTTGTTTACCTCCGTCCTAGCCAGCAGACAGCCCCATAGAAGGCCATAGGGGTGTACTGTGCAGGCGCATCCAGAAGATGGAGACTTGCTGCAGAATGTAACAATGGAGGGCAGGCACATCAGAACTTTTCTAAGTGTGCATCCTTGCAGGGGAGGGTGGAATTGATTAGGTCAGTTTTAATGGAGCCAAAAGCATAAGAGATTGGATAGAGGTCCCAAAAATTAGGAAACAACTCGGTCATCATAGGTGCCCATCAATTGAGAGGGTCCAACACTGGATTTCAGGTTATAAAAGGATTTTATTTACATCAATGGATATGGGTAAAACACCAACACATTTTGTGGCTAATAGCGGCCACTTCAGGATGGTGTGTACAAAAACTGCTGTAGAGGATGTAGATTCTACTCGGGTAGTGTATTAGGCTAAATTCACACCTCCTATCTTTAGGTGCAATTAGGAATCCCTGCATCAAGAACTTGCTTTTTCCTGCAGCAGGAATGCCTAATCTGGTGGGTACTGATCAGATGACAGCAGCTGCATGTAAACGCGTGCACACCGCATGTAAAGATATATGTGATATGATTACTTTTGGTTAGGAATCAGTCACTCTTCCTGGACACATCGATTGTGCATCCAGGGAGAGTGTTTTCTAACTGAAAGGAGAACTATGGGGTGAGTGCTTTTCACTCACCTCATAGTTCTAGCTGACCTGTGACAATGAGACTGTCACAGGTCGGCTCAGTAGATCGGGAGGTGAGCGAACACATACCGGCGGGGGGTACAGCGCGCTCTGCCTCTAGATAGGCAGAGCCAGCTGTCAATCATGCAGCTGGGGGATCCCGGCACAATTGTCGGGATCCGCTTCAGCTGCGGCGTCTCCGTATTCCGCGAGCTACAGCTTGCGGTATACTGAGCCTAGGGTGACGGGAGGACGCTAGTTTGTGTCCTCCCGTTACCCTAAGGAGAACTATGGGGAAAAGCCTTAACCCCATAGTTCTCCTTTCATGTAATGATATTGCATACCATTACATGTGGTGCGCAGGCGTTTAAATGCAGCGGCTATTGCCTAATCATTACTTTGAATGGGTGATAGCTGCCACTTGTAAACACCAGATTAGGCATTCCTGCTGCAGAAAAACACAAATTCCGGATGCAGGAATCCCTAATTGCACCTAAACTTACAGATATGAATAGGACCTTATTGTGTGTGTATTTGGTCTGTAGTACCATACCAGATATAATTTACAATTTATTTTGATGTACGAAATTTGGCAAGTGGCCCCCATGGGAGAAAAAATCGTTTGAGGGGAGGCTGCAGTTCCACTCAGAAGCACTAAAGGACTCAACTTGGCTGCACCAGTTTAATAATAAAAAAACAACTGCTTACATATTTTACCTCAGGCTTCTCTTTCAGCCAATCCTGTCCTGTCTGAAATGCTGGTTGCATGGCTTTTCATGCTGATCCAGTGGCTTCTGTACTTTGTAACTGACATCCAAATAGATCTTGAGTTCTGACTTCACTGGTAGAAGTTTGTTTCAGGTCACAGATTTGGGGGTCTCTTTCTGGGGAAAAAAAAAAGATTACATAGCCATTTTCTCAAGTGAAACTGCATGGTGTGTGTGTTTTTGGTTTTAACAAGCTGTTGGGGCAGAATTGAATGTTCCTAAGATAGTATTTTTTTTTTTTTTTTCCTCGTCTGGTGGAATCGGAGCCGTATCTACAAAAAACTGCACCCCTGGTGTCCCACCCAGCTCCTGGCAACCAGTGGTGTCACTGGTTGCCAAGAGTTGGGTGGTACGGCGGCCGGAGCATTCAGTTTGCATACGCATCTCCCTGCCCGCTCTGGTTGCAAAGACCTGGGCGGGGATGTGTGTGGCCCTTGCACGTCTCCCTTCCCAACTCTTGGCAACCTGGGATACTGTGGGAAGGATGCTGGCCAGAGCGTCCCTGGTTGCTAAGAGACAGGTGGGGAGAGGTGTATGGGAGATGGGTGGAGAGAGAGTGAGCCTTTTCCGTGGGTCGGCGAACTTTTGCCCCCCCTTCAAGTGGTGCCCAGGGCATGTGCCATACCCTGGATACATTATTGTCTGGGATGTTCTTCAAATATTTTGAGCACTAGTCATTCATTAAGACCATATAGTGAATTGAGAAAAATACCGCATTATGGCCACTGGATGGTGCAGAAGTAAATGCATCCTAGTAATAAGAGATACTATAACAATTCTAGCACCCACAAGAGGGAATTGGTAATTAAATGTAGCTATTGCTACTATGAGCATCCCTGTACACCCCCTCCCCTCCCCCCCCCATTCTCCCAACAGCTGGTTAATTCACATAAAACAAATGTACATGCATTTTTGATTCATATCTATGCAATTTTTTCACTCTCCTTGTATGTTCTCCCTGTGCTTATGTGGGTTTCCTCCAGCTACCCCAGTTTCCTCCCACACTCCAAAGACATACTGGAAGGTTAATTGGCTCCTGTCTAAATTGTCCCTGTATGTGTGTGATATGGACCTTAAATTGTTAGCCCCTTAGGGCTCGTTTCCACCAGCAGGTGTGCTCATTGCACAGTCCTGTGCCCACAACGCAAGGGACTGCATTCACAATCTTCTTGCATTCTGGGGTGGGAGGAGGTGTGGCAGTGCCATTTATGTCAATGGCACTGCAGACATGCCCCCACCACCTGCAATGCGATCGGCCTAAGAGCAGGGACTGATGTGAATGCACTATGTAAAGCGCTATATAAATACCTATAATAATAAATAAATAGGCTGCTTTTAACTGAATGCATCCTAAAATATCTGCTGTACTTTTTTTGTCCTGTTGTACGGCTATCGGACTGCCAGTAGGTGGCAGCATTTGCTTTTTAAACCATTGGAGCTAATCACTGAATGATTTGTTCATTTGTTTAGACAATTATCACTTTCTTAATTGTGTTAGTGTTGCTTTAGTATAATGAGGAAGAACATTATTTACCCAAGAGTGGTGAAATTAGCAGCTTTTCACAGGTGTAAACTCTCACGTTCTGCAGAAGTTTGTCTAATCCATTAGATTTAAATAGCAGTTATTTACAGTATATGTGACACTGATAAGGGACTATTGCAGAAAATATATTCTGTCTATACGCAGGTGACACTTGTAGTAATAATAGTATGCTAGATTTGTTTTTATTTGGGTTTTTCTCCAACTTTTCTATGCAGACCAAGCTGTCCTCTGGAAGTAACTGTTACAGGGACTTGGACAAGCTATGACACTGAAGTTGCTTGAGCGGGTGCAGCAAAAGTTTAACATTGAAACCATATATATAGTAAGTGACCATTGGAGATACTGTTCCCTCACCTCATGAGAACAACCACAGTGCGGTGTTCACACTATATGTGATGATTAGGGTTGCCACCTGTCCAGGATTCACCCGGACAATCCGGGGTTGGAATGCTGTGTGCCGGTTTCATGGTAGCAGAAAGCCAGACACAAGATGTCAGGCAGACGGGCAACCAAGTTAATAGAGGGGCTACTGGCCCCCCACTGAAAATAGTATCCACTGTGATATTTGCATAGGAATGAGTGATGCTATTTACCTATGAATAAGCCACGACTCATTCTCACAAAATAATGTTAGCATGTCACTAGAGTGTTCAGGTTTCACTTGAAAAAAAGTTACTCCTAGTGGTGACTGGTGTTTTGTGGCAATGCCACTCAATGCAAGGGCACACTTGAAATAATTTTGTGCCACCTTTTAAGCAATGCTGGCGTCATACA